GTTTCTTTAAAAAATGATAATTATTGGATTAAAATTTAAAAAACCGCTCAACTCTATTAATAACTCTGAGGACATGTCTTGCAGCACCTTTTGCAGTTGTTATGCTTGCCAAATGGGGAAGAGCACCACCTAGAGCCGTTGAACCGCTCATTACAGCAAACTAAAAAAATTTAAATTTAATATTAATTTTATATAAATCAGTTGGTCGTTAGGAGAATGTCACGGACTTGAAAGATTTCTAATTATTTTTTAATTAAAAATTAGACCCTAATGACAGTCAAAAATTAATTAATAAAATTAAAAAAAAATAAAACTAACAAAAACAGTAAAAACAGCACCCCTATCAAAATCTGGATCCCACAATACAAGTCTAGACGCATACCAAAAAGCAACAGCATAAGATACGTACATAATTATATTGTTTATGCCAACTAAAAAATTATTCTTTTAATTTACAAAAAATTCCTTCCATGGCTAAAACAATAGGATTGTATTTTTCAAACCGGGCCGACGTTCGAGTCATTTTTTCGGGCCTCATTTTTATCGAACCGGGCCATTCAAGTCGCTTTCGGGCCAAAATTCGAGGCCCGGTTCTCTTTCAAACCGAACCGGGTCCCCAACCCTACTAAAGTAAAACATTAATGGTGGCATTCGAAAACGTTTGTCGAGCTGACAATCAAGCTTTCTGAGAGTTGATTAAATCAGCTGATTACAAGTTCTTTCGAATGACATCATGCATACACGCGAGTTAACCATGGGAAAAAAGCATAAAGTGTGTCAATTTAAAGTTAGAAATACCTCCAAGTGCCATATAAAGGTATTTAAGTAAACCAGTCTTTCGACCTTCTTCTAATGCTTTCTCATATCTAAAATTAAATTTAAAAAGAATTTTTTAGCAATAAGAAATCAGGTTTTGATTGAATTTTAGAGACAACGGAAATCTTTAGACTTTTGCCGAATAAAATATTTTCCCCAAAAACTTTCCAAACCTTTCCAATTCTTGTTGTTCAGCATTTAAGGAATGTATTGTCCTCATAGAACTTAAAGTTTCTTCAGCAATAGCTCCAGCAATTGCATATTTATCTTGTTCTACTTGTGTTCTAGAAGCTGTCATTCTACCCATCCAAGCAGAAGTTAAAGCTATTGCTGGAGTAAATAAAGCCATTACAACAGTCATTTGCCAACTATAAAAAAATCCAACAACAAAACTTGAAATAAACGCTGCAAACCTTAAAAAATTTAAAAAATATTAGATTATAGGATGAAATGTCACGAAAATTAAAAATTATCAAATGAAAATATTCTGAAACTTTTTTAAACCCCGCTTTATTTGTAAAATTTTACTAGATTCTACATAATCCTAAGGGAGTTGCTAACGCGAGTTACTTTAATGAAATTACTCCGTATGCTCGAGCAGACAAAATACATATGTACACATAGTAACGCCGGGGTGGGGGCTAACTCAAGGATAACAAGTCAAGGAACAGACAAGTCAAGGAACGACCAATTCATGGAACATACCAACTCAAGCGACAGACAAGTCCAGGAAAAGACTGTTCCTTGAGTTGGTATGTTCCATGAGTTGGTCGTTCCTTTACTTGTCGTTCCTTGGTTTGTCGTTAGTTGATTTGTCTGACCCTTGAGTTAACCCGACACGGTAACGCTGTTACCTTCACATGGTGTCTTAAACATGAAAAAGGATTTTGCATTTTGACATCTTTTGTTATCGGCAAATTAAGTAAATATTTCTTTCAAATTAAAAAATTTAAAAAATACATTTGAATAAAAAGAGATGCTTTATCCCCCAATCCTTCTCTAACCCTTTCCAAATCATCAGATAAACGAGCAGTTAAATTCCCAGTTTGAACAGTATCAAACCAAGCAATATCTTGTCGCAAAATTGCACGTAAATAATTTTGACGCAAACGATGTGCTAATCTTTCCGCTACTGCTTCCCAACAGGCTATCTTTAATTAATTAAAAATTAGAAAAATTAGGGGAAAATATTTGAACACCAATTTTGGATACTCTCTTGGGGCTAAAAATCGTTACCTTAAAATATATCTTTAAAAAGAGGCATCGCTTCCCCGACCAACCACATTAAAAATATTATTTAATTATTTAAATTCTCAAAAAGAGGAAGATCTTGTCTATCGCGAAAATTAAAAAAATCTGGATTTTGGGGAGGGATTCCCGGAAATCCCGCAAAGGACCTCATCCCAAACTTTAAAAAATTAAATTGGGACGAAATGTCCATTTTAAATATTTAATAAAAAAATATTCATTAAATTCTCTAAAAAATTACCTGAATATAAGAAGTAATAAACATAACAAAACCAAGAAATAAATAATACATTGAATAAATAAATATTTGATGTTTAAATTCTTCACTAGAAAGAGGTGGAATCGTTGAATTTGTATTTCCAGTTGAACTATTTTTAAAAGTTGAGGGTTCATTTCCATGCACAAAATCAGAATTTTCAGCACGAAGAAAAACTGAAAAACAAAAATAAAATAAGAAAAAAATTTCTTTAAAAAAATTTTTGTTTAATTTCAGAAAAAAATACATGAAATGTCCATTTTTTCAAAAATTTCAGAAATTAAAAAAAAATTTCTAAACCTGAAGTCATTCCACCCAACACAATAGAAAGTAAAGGAAATCCAGCTCCATGAACTACAGATGCAAAAGTACCAACAATAATGAGAAAATAATCTAATGCTGTTAAGGAAGAGAACTGAAAAGGTTTTTTTTAATTTAAAGAAAAAATTCCCTTTCGAACCAAATTAAAAGTCTTTTTATTTTTAATTAAATTTTCTTTTATTTCATCACATTTATTTTCTGTTGTTTCCAATAAGGGCAAATTACTATTTAAATTTTTAGGGGTTTTGGGCATTTTTAAAAAATTTTCACGGGGAATTTATTTAATTAAAAACATTTTTTAACAAGAAAACTCTGACTGTATTAAAAACTACATTGGAAATAGTCAGCTAAAATCAAAAATTAAAAAGCTTCAATTACTTTTAAGTTCGTCAAAGAGAAGAAAATAATACGAACTATTTTCTAAACAGTGACAAAATGAGTTATTCTTTTCTTTGTGACGAATTGTCAATTAAGGAAATTAAAAATTCGAAGACGTTTGGGTGCAGAAATTTTTAGTGTAAAGGACAATTCGGTGTAAATTCCCAACAATCATTTTTAGAATACGGTCAGTAATTTTTTAAAATTTTTTTCAGTAATTTTTTCAATAATTCAGTAATGAACAAAATTAAATCTTACATACAATTCTTTTAAGCCCAAAGGGGTTTTAAATGGGGGTTTGTAAAACGAAAAATTTTTAACTTACAAGTCCAAGTTTGCGAGGTTTTTCCTTTGCTTTTTTCTTTCTTTCATTTGTTAAAGGATCAGTAGAACTTAATTTTAAGCAATTTTAAAGATTCGATGGTATTTTATGTGCCTTTTATTCCCATTTCCTCTTGCTTTTAGCAAAGTCAGGACTTGTATCATAAAAATACATAAAAACCTAGATAGCCCCCTCCTTTCCCCCTTAAATCCCCTCTCTTAATCTCCCCCCTCCATTTAAACAAAATTATTTTTGTAAACAAATTTCCTTACCTAGTACTTGAATCGGTTGTCAAAGTTCCATAACTTATCGTCAACTTTTCTGTTGTATCCCCCAAAAGTGCTTGTCTATCATTGTTAAACATTGACGAGCCTCCTATTAATACAGCTGAGTGTTTTGGATGTTCTTCGGCAGTTTCCAAATTTGGGGATTTTAACATTTTTACAATTTTATGGAATTACTTTTTTCTAATAAATAATAAAATCTTTAAAGAAAATAGATACTAAAAAAATGAAAAGTAGTAAATATGTACTTCCTGATAATGAAACATATTGAGTAGAAAAGACAAAAAAATTCAAAGAGAGAAACAAATTGAATTTTAATGATTTAAAAATATTTTTAAAAAATTATTTTTTCAATAATTTAATTTAGGGTTGTTGGCGAACGGTTAAGCGAACCGGAGCCGAAAACCGGGGGTCGAAAATCGGCGATAACCGAAAACCGAAGGTACCGGTTAATAACTGGTCGCCAACAACCCTAATTAAATTCTTAATTATTTTTTAGAAAATGTATGAGTTGTGAGAATACTCATTTTCTTAACTAAAAAATGGAATAACTTTAAGCAATTGGGATGGAAGGAAGAAAAAAAGGCTGACCATTCTGTAGATATTTAGGAAAAAACTTGGGGAGGAAGAATTGGGTCTGTTAGGTTCAATAATATTACCAAAAACCCACCAAATACCCTATTTTAAAAAAATTTATTCGAGATTTTCTGACCATCAATTAATTTTAATTTTTCTTTTGCAAATTTAAAAACAAATCAATTTATATTTAAAATGATCTAATAAAATAAATTTTGTATATTTTTACTGATTAGAATTTTTTTCTTCTGACAAAAAAGAAGAAAATATTTATTAGAAAATTGTATTTATTTGTTTATTAACTTAAACATATATTTATGTCCTAGTTTTTTTTTCTTACTGATAAGATTAAATGTAAATAGACAAATACCTTAAACTAACTACAAAAGTAGAATAATATAGAAAAAAAATATATTTTAAAGAATTTTTTTCAAAAAAAATCCAAAAGGAAATTAATTTAGAGGAATTTTACATTCTATTTTGATAAAATTAAAGAATACCCCCCCCCCCTCCCACAACACAGACAATGGGAATTCATCCACAAAAGAAAAGTTTTTTTTCAAAAATAATCTCGCCACCCATTGTTCTTTAAAACAATCAAAAAAAATCTGGGAAATAAGTAGGTTGATAACAGCAATTTTTTTGGAATATGCCAAAGGAATGTGAAAAAATGATTGCGCCCTTATATTCAAATTTTTTAATAAAAAACTTAAATTTAACAAAAAAATGAATTTAATTTTTACTTTTAAATTTTCAACAAAAAATATTTTTAGGCACAAAATTTTAACTTTAAATTTAATTAATGTGTTGAATTTTGTTGTGTCAAATATTTTCCATCAGATTTTTTTCGTAAAAGAACACCATAATTATATAAATTGGCTAGATTTACTTCTAGAATTTTTTTTACTTTTAATTAAAAAGAGAATTTTTTTTGTTACTTTTAGGTTATCTCACTACCCCAATTTTTGTGGAAGAACAGGAAATAAAATAAAAAAAAGGTAATAAGTAAGGGGGAGATAACAGAAAAAGTAAGTCTTTCGGTTATTTTATTATAATAATTTTATGGGGTATTTTCAAAAAAAAATTTTTTAGATTACCTAGGTAAAATGGACTTTACTAAAATACTCTACTAAATTGTCATTTTGGGTTAAAATTATAAAATTAAATTTTATTTTTTTAATGGCAAAAGGATTTCTAATTTTGAAGTGTCTGAGGAGCGAAAAAGTCATTTTTACAAAAAAAATTTTTTCTAATTAAAATACCTGTTGTTGTAATCTGATCACGTAAAAAGTCCAATTCCTCTTCTGTTTCTCCATTACTAAAAATTTTATTTCGTTTTAATTTAAAAAATAAAAGAAAAAACGTTTGTTCAATATTTGCCAAATGTTTCGTTAATAATTCTTGAGCTTCTTCCAATTTATATTCAACCATGACATTTGCTCCCAACCAAATACAAACTCTAAAGAAATTAAATATTTTCTTAAAAATTGGACAAGAAATAATTAAAAGAAAATAGAAAAAATTTTAAAATCTTACAAAAAATCAAAAATATTCTAAATAATTTTTGTATATCCTAAATTTTTGCTACAAATTGGTAAATTACCCAATGTCTATGCTAAAGGCTTTAAAAAGTATTTAAAAAAAAAAGTAATATTTTTACATTTTAGAGAAGTTAAACAAAAAAGAATATAATCACCCCCCTCCCTCTCCTCCTCCCTCCCTCCGCACATATATTCTCACAAAGATTTAAACAATTTTAAAAAATTAAATTCAACCTATCCATTTCCTCAACAACAGCATCCGAAAAAAGATTTTCATCCAATTTGTAAGTTACTAGAACAGAATTGGCCTTTTTTGTCTTTAAATTAAAAAAACAAATTTTAAAAAATTTTTCAAAAAAACCTTTTGTTCAACCAACATTTTCAACGAGTCAATACTTTTTTGGTAATCAAGAATACTCTCATCAATTCTTTTTTAGAAAAACAATTATTTAAAAAAAATCAAAAAAACTTTGTTTTTTGTTGAAGAGCAGAAGTCTCCAATAATTTATAACGACGAAAATTATCTCGTTCATCTTCTTGAACGTCATCCAAAGTTTTCTTCTTTTCTGTCAAATAATTCTCTACATTTTCCTTTGAAAAAAAATTTTGAAATTTAAATAAAAAATTTTAAAAAAAGAGCAAAAAATATTTTTTTAATTTTTCATCCCATCCATTAAAAACGGCCAAAAAATTAAGTTTTAGAATTCCCAAAAATTAAACCTAAGAAACTCCTATTAAACTAGACAAATTTACAGGTAAAATTGTTTCGTTTAAGGGCCCCTTTTTTCCTTTTCCTAGTGTTCTCCTCAATATGTGCAGAATGAACAAAACTTTTTCCTCCCGTCCATCCCAATTGCCTTTCTTATTTTCAAAATAACTGAATAAAAAATTAATCCAGTTTGGCTGTTTGTAGAAAGGCAATTTGAATTGAAAGGAAATGAAAAGGCTGACCATTCTGTACAAATACAGAAATGTGGGGCAAAAGGGCACAGAAGCGGCACTCTATTACCAACTAAATATTCTTTAAAAAAAAACTAACCAAAACTAAAGCCTTCAAAATATTTCTTCTTTTCATTCTTTCCTCTACAGACAGAGATTCTATTGTTTCTGTAGTTGTTGATGTACTAGCATTAATTATTTTATTTTCCAAACTCATTTTTTTAAATTAAAAAACTAAAAATTAATTTATTTTATGATTAAAAGCGGCAAAGAAAAAGAAAAATATCACAACCCTCCCCAACTAAAACAACGGGAATCCTTCTAATAAATAGTCTAAAAAATTTTAAACCATTCTTCTCCACCCACAAAATAATTTTTTTGAAGTAACAAATCTTTAAAAAATAAAAATTTTTTTTAAATTTTTATTTCACAAATCACAGCTATACAATCCCAATTTAAAAAAGAAGCAACTTTAAGGATAAATAATTTTGGGGGGAAATAATTAAAAATAAGCAATTATTTATTAAACAATTTAGCTATAATAGAGCAATAATTTTTGTTTATTTTTAAATGACATGGAAGAAAAAAGATTTTTTAGATTATTGTAAAATAATAGAGCAATGTGTGGTTAAATAGATTTTTAGAAATAAAAAAAAGATAACCAAAATTACAAAAAAAATTTCTAATTTTGTTGGTATTTTTTAGTATTCTACAGCCTAAAGGCTTCTAAAGGAATTAAATAATACAAAAAAATATATGAGAAGGTTATGTAAGAGATGTGTGAATTTATGTAAATGTATTGGCGAATTATTTTGTTAAATTTGGAAAAAAATATTTTTACAAAAATTCTAATTCTAAAAAATTGAAAATTTGATTAAAATATATTACACAAAAATGTAGAGATATTATATAAAATATATTACAAAAAATTTTAGATTTCAATAGAAAGACAATTTTTTCTAGTAAAAAATATTCAGAATTATTTGAATAAACAAAAGAATGAAATTCTTAATGAGAGGTTCCAAAAAAATAATTTCCAACCTTCTTTAAATTTTTAACAAGTTTAAAATTAATTTAATAAACAAAATTTGGCTCTACTTTAGGACATGCGTCCTATGGACTTTTATGCGTCCCATATCAAAGTATAAGCGATCCATTAGAAAAAAAAAGTTCCCTGGGACGCATAAAAGCTCGTGGGACGCATGCCCTAAAATAGAGCCCCAAATTTACAGATATACTTTAAAGCCAATTTTATCAGGCTATAGAAAATTACATAAAATTTCAAATAAAATCTTAATTATTTCAAAAAAATCTACAGAAACAATTTAGGTAATTAATACCTAAAAAAGTCAACTTTTTAAGGAACCACTCTTTAAGATAAAAATATTATTGGCTATAAAAATATTATCGCCGGGATGAAAATAAAATAATAAAAAGGGAGAAACTATCCTTAAATTTTTATAATAGAAAACGAAGAAAATAGAACTTTAAAAAAATTTACTTAATATATAATTTTCAGAATCATTAAGCCGAGATTTTATAAATAGAAAAAAATCATTTTCATAAAAATACAACAATTTGAGGCTTCAAAATTTAAGTAAATCAAAAATCTTAAAATTTAAATATTTAAAAAACATTTATATTTACAGGTCATTTGTAAGCCCCGTATTTTCAAAAAAATATCCTTTAAAAACATTAAAAATCCCCAAAAAACTTCTCTTTCCAACTCCTTTAACTTATTTCCTCTTTCGACAATTTAACACGCTGTACTAGAAGTAGCAGAAGCTTGAGCATAAGCAGCAGCATTTAAAATAACTGCAGCTTCAGCAGCAGAACCAACACCTATCAAAGCATTACTACTTCCGGGCACACTAATCCCTTTATCCATATCAACACGGCAGAGTGGACACTTTTTGTTTTGTTGTAACCAAGGGTCAATACATTCCATGTGGAAGAGATGTCCACAATTTAGACCACGCAATTCATCCCCCGTTTCGAATTCGCAAAGGCAGATTGTGCAACGTTCGCGTTCTTGCTCACTAGAAAAAATAATTTTTGTTTAAATAAAAAAGAATGAAGGTTAAGGCAAAAGGATTAGAAAATTAACAGATAAAAGATAAATTTGTGATAGGATCTACCAATTATAGAACCCCGGGGTATCTTGCCTTAAAAATAGCAGAAGACTATAAAAAAATTATAAAATTTCAACAACTTACGGGGTATTTGGATCTTCAACATAGGATAGCTTTTGCGAGTGCCTTTTGATCTGTTCCAATGTTGCACCAACTAAATGATTTAAAAATAAAATTTAAAAAAATTAAATAAAACCTGGCTGAGGCTCAGCCGCTGTAGCTGCAGCCATTGCATTTGCAACAATATGATGAGGGTTAGTAGCAGTAGACAAAGCAGAACCACCACCATTAAGAACTAATGAAGTTTCGGCACCAGGATGATTGTGTAAAAGTACGAGACTTGACTAAAAATTGAGAAAGAAATTTTAAAGTTTAAAACAGGTCTCAGTTTTCCTACCAAATCCATTTGTGTCATCGGAACAGGCAAAGCTTGTGGCATCGAAAAAAGAGGTCGCATTAAATGACGATGCTGTGCCGCTGCCTGAGCCGTTCTTTGTTGGATTTGTTGTTGTTGCTGGTAAAAGTGGTTAGCTGTTTCTCTCTCACGCTCCTGCTGTGCCAAACGAATAGCCAAAATACTTTGATGAACAGTATTCATGTTTTGTTGAGCTTGAACTTGTGCTAACAAATTGGTTTCATTAAGAGTCGCACCACGTTGCAGACTTGAAAAAAATTTAAAATTTATAAAAACAAATTTTAATATCCAACCTATACAAAGACGGCATTTGCTGCTGTTGTTGGGCAGGAACTGCTTGCATCGTTTGTTGTTGTCCCATAGCTGCAGCACTGTTCAACAACATTGCTGTAACAGCAGAAGGTGAAAGAGATGCAGCTTGTCTATTCATTACTTGTTGTTGTAAATTCATAGCTTGTTGCTGTGCATTAACTTGTTGTTGTAAGTTTATCATTGCCTGTCCTTGTGAATCTGAAGATGTTGAAAGATCACGTTGATGAGAAGAATTTGAAGTCGATAAACTTGAGGATCCAATATTTATTCCGATACTTACAGAAGTCGACTGTTGTTGTCTTTGCATATTATTGGTGTTGTAAGCATCCAAAAGTAATTGATATGCACCGTTTGATTGACCAAATGATTGGGTAATATTGTTTGCATTTAGCAAGAATCTTTGTGACTGTTGATTAGACTCATCAGTATTTACACTGTTTAGTAGTTCAAATGAAGGAACAGAACTGAGCAAACTATTTAGATTTGAACTTGAAGATGGGCAGAGGCTGAGAGCTGACGGACGAGATTGATGCTAAAAATTGAAAAATTTGGAAGATAAATGCGGGCAAATGTAGTCACTAAAGGAATTATTAATAAATTTTAGTTCTCGGAAGGTTCAAAAACAAAATAAAAGCTAATAAAATTTACAAACCAAATATCCCTGTTGAGGTCGAACCACACCAACATTTGGATTATCAACTTGAATCCCTACTGTAGCACTGTTGTTGTTGTTTTGATTATTAATAACAGATGGCGTTGGTGGACCATTTGTCACATTAGAGTTGCAAAGAGTACAAATAGGAGGTGGTTGATGTGGTAGAAGTGTTTGGTGGTTGTGACAATGTAAATGGTGATGATGGTGATGGAGACAACTACAAGCAGTTACAGCTGCTGGGGTTGCACCGGGATTTGACTGAAAGAAAATGTTGAGGATAAAAAGAAATATCAACAAAAAACCAATCGTGACTGGCACGCCGCTGCAGCACAAACAGCACATTGCACGGCTGCTGTTGCACCCGTAATTGCAGCCAATGCTTGTGGAGAAAGAGCAGATGCAGCATTAGCAGCACTCAATGCAGCCGCTACAATATGTTCCATCCCTGCGGCAACAGTTGAAGCAGCTGCCACAGCCACGGCGGCAGCCTGTTGGTTTTGTAAAGGAAGAGCAGTTGGATTTTGTTGTAATGAAGTTAATGCTGATGATTGAATCGCATTAGGTGTTATTGAGTTTGCAATTGATAGAACTTCATTGAGGGGTGTTGAAATGGCAGCCTTAAAAATTTTTTTAAATATTTTTACATTTTATATAGATGATTCATTCAAAAAACATAAAGTTTAAAAGACTCTGTGAAGTTTAAAGAGAGAAAATAGAAAGCAAAGTTTCGCCTTGTGACTCATTCGAGAGAAAATAGAAAGCCTCATGTCAGTCGGTAGTCAAAAACAATCATCAAAAACCCTGACCATATTGATTTAATACTCACCAATGTTTGTGCTCGTTGTCTAATTTGAACAAGAGCGGCAGCCGTAGCATTACTCGTAGCCTCAATATCCGCTTCTGAAATGGTAGTAATGGAAGGAACAGTTGTTGGACTGACAGATTCATTTATTTCAGATACATCTTCATCAAAAGACAAAATACGACGTAATTTTGGAGCACGACTTGGGCCTAAAAATAGAGAAAGGGATACAAAAGTCAGTAAAACCCAGATCTACCTTCATTAAATTCATCACTTCCTTGATTTCCTCCTCCTGCTGCTAAAGCAACATTTAATGCTTCACCTGTAGCCAACCGAATTTGTGTAGGATTCGCAAAAAGCAAAGGCGGAGACGAAGAAGAAACATTTATTGTATTTGAATTATTTATAGCTGTTAACATTGCAGAAGAAACAGCTTCCAAATTTGGAGGAAATGCAGTTGTATTTGAACGTTTTAGTGAGGAAGAACTTCCAGCAGAAGAACGTGATATTCGGTTAGGAGGAGAACGATGTTGTATTGGTTGAATAACACCAATAGGTGGAACAACAGAATTTGTGGTTGTTGAAGGAAGGAGCGAAGAAATTAATTGTTGTTGCTGTTGTTGTTGAAAACCAGGATTTGGAATTTGCTTAAAAAAGAAAAAAAAAGTTAGAAATCCTTACTAGGGAAGGTTGCGAGACCGGGCTTATTCGATAGAGAATGTGCCCTTTCTAGCAAGGATTTTGAGCCCAAATTCCTAGAAAATATTTAACGGTAAATGTCCAGCTCGTCCCCTACATGTCCACAAATGACTTGCTGCAAAAATCAGTTTACGCTGCATTTTTTCTTTCCACCAAGATGTCAGTTAAATACCTGAGAAAAATTTTGGAAGGAAAAGGAAAAAATGCAGCAAAAAATGATTTTTAAAGAAAGTCATTTGCGAACATTTAGGGGACGAGCTGGACATTTACTATATCTAATTAACAAAAGAACCAAAAAACATTTGAAATTTTCTTACAAAAATCTGTGCTTGACGTTGTCTACCATGTGCCAACATTGCTGTTTCACCAGAATTATTATTTCCATTATTTTCATTCCTTGAACGTATTCCAGTCTCCGCATTATTATTTAAATCAATTTGTAAATCGTTATTAACTAATGGTCGAACAATTGAAGTTTGATGATAAGGACAGACACCAGCAGCAGCAACGGCCATAGATGTTGCTGCAGCTGCCGCAAACATTGAAGGTAAGGTACAGGAACAAAGAGCAGGTACCGGTACGGCTAGAAAATTTTTAAAATAAAATTAGAAAAATCTCTAAAAGACAAAAAATCTTTTTTTCAATAATTTCCAGTTTTTCTAGCCAAAAAATAAAAACTTGATGGGTGAATTGCCTATTTGTAAAATGCTGATATCTCCTTCCCTAATACAAATTAAAAAACGTTAAAATTACATACAATTTTGTTGGTCATTTGAAGATGTATTAACCAAATTCTGTTGTTGTTGTGAAAAATTAGAAGAGATTTGATTTGAACCATTTATATTTGTTGATTGTTGTTGCTGTGAAGAAAAATATGTTGATAGAGGTGTTGAATAACTTGTGACCAGATTTGGGGAAGTATTATATACAGAGACTACATCTTGACGCTAAAATTGAAAAAAATAAGACAAGGCTTGAAGTGATTTTTAATTAGAATTAATAATCAGAATAAGTGACTTTCGTCAAATTTTATAAAATCAATTCTAACCAACTGATCAAGTTAAATTTTTTAATCGTCCAAAGTATTTTTAAATTATATAAAATACCTGTTGTTGATGTATAGCAACAGCAGTTGAAACAGCAGCTGCCGCAGCTACATAATGACCTAACATTGTAGAAAGTCCATTAGTTGAATCACAAACTAAAGATGGTTGTTGTTGTCCACTTAATGGCTGGGGAGAAGATGATATAGAATTTGTATTTGATAAAAGCGGAAATGAAGAAGCTGTAACTCCGGGAGTAGCCATAGCCTGAAAATTGTTTTTAAAAAATTTTCTAAATTTTTTTCTCATTATGTCCCAAATTAAAAAATTTTTAAAAGAAAACCTGAGCCATTAAATTTATTTGGTGCTGAAGTCGAAGTGATGCAGTTGCTGCCGATTCAGCTAAAGAATTTAATGTTGAAGCCGCTGCAAGTTCCTCACGTCCAGGATAGGGAGAATCCTCTCTAGTTGGATGAAGTGCAGGATTCCTGTTGTTATTTCGTAAATTAACCAATAACGAAGAAGATGCCGTCAAAGAGTTGGACTGTTGTTGCTCTGAAATTTGAATTTGATTGTTGTTTTCATTGCTGAAATTTTCGGCATTTGTTTCTTTTTGATTTAAAGATTCCATTAAATAATGGCAGAATATTTCCGTATTTTGATATTTAAAATAAAAAAATGGAGAGTTTTTTTAAGAAGCAGCAACTCAACCAAGTTTTAAAGATACGGCTGAAAAGTAAAGAAGAATTTATTAATAATCTAAACAGAGATTTAATAAGAAAAGGCGCAGAATAAAAAAAAGCTAGAAAATAAAATCATAAGTAAACTTGATAAACATCGAAAAAGACCAAAAGACTCAACACAAACTGATAAATACTAACACTAAATATGGAAGTCATGTGAAAAGTGAAGAAAAAGAAGCAGAAATTTGGATTATAAGTGGTATGTTTCCCAATACAGGGCAAACTTTAAGAAATTCTCTTCTGAGATATCCAAATTATTTAGATTCTATGTATCATGCCAAAGCACCCGATACTTTAACAAGATAGTTGATATAGTTTGTAAACTCCAAACCAGCAAAACTAAGGCGGAGGTGGAGGCAAAAATGGACGACTGTCGAATGTGAAGGAATTCGTGGGAAGGAAAAGGAGTGTGGAAGGACGTACGTTGGTGGTGAGCATCTAGGGAGAAAGAAATTTTTAGCAAAGGCAGTCGTCGATGGGATAAGAATGAAAAAAAGGAATTACACTGACTCATGTGCGCACTCTACCGAAATAATCTCTCACTAATTTTCTTTCTCTTCTCACCATTGGATTGTGAGTAGAATTTTGAATTTGTCATTAGAGTATTATTTGATAAAACTTTAATATTTCATAATTTAGTCTCGAAAGTTTGATTTGCTTGAAATTGGAAGTCAAAATGTTAGAATTTCTAAATCACTTAAAAATTTAACATAAATGGAAGATCTGGAAAGTTTCAAAAAATTTTCTTAAATTAACTTAGACTTAAACAGTCATTCTATAAACAGCAGCATTTGATGCATTCTTTGTTATAAAATTATTTGTCTGACTCTCTTTGTCCTTCATACAACAAAAAATAGTGTATATTCTCTAGGAGAGACAAATAAAGAGCGGCGTGCCCGCTCAACTCATCTAATCCTTAACTCATCCACACGCCCAAAAACGCTCAACTCATCTAAACGGCTAAAATTCCTTAACTCATCCACACGGCCAAAAACGCTCAACTCATCCAATCCTCAACTCATCTAATGCTTAACTCATCCACACGCCCAAAAACGCTCAACTCATCCAATCCTCAACTCATCTAATGCTTAACTCAGGGCTCTCATCGACAAAATACCAATCAAGAGTACAAAAATCTCGATTTTAAAGTACATAGGGACAAAATTTCCAAATTTAAAGGACACTCAAAATTAAATTACAAAATATTTATTCGCCCTCAAATCTTTTATACTATTTCTCTACTAAATGAATTTTTCTAATAATCTCTTGTTTCCACTGAGCATTTTGTGCATTTCATACACGCCATGTCAAAATTCGCTGTCACAAGAAGTAAAGCCCTGACAGTCTTAACCTCAAGCAAGCTACTTTCTTACGTCCATTTTCAACGCCGCAGGCGAAAATTTTGGGAAATTTCGGGGTTCTTAAGACAGATTTTTTCCATTTTTAGCGCCGCAGGCGAAAATTTTTTGAAATTTAGACCCAAGAAGCTAGATTTCTTCCTTTTTCAGCGCCGCAGGCGAAAATTTTGAGAATTTTGGAGTTCCTTAAGCCAGATTTCTTCCTTTTTCAGCGCCGCAGGCGAAAATTTTGAGAATTTCTAAGGCCGTAGGCCAAAAAAATCCACTTTTTTGCCCAATCCTTCCCTAATTTCATTTTCAATCCAAAATGTTGATTTTAAAGTACATACTTTCAATAAAGTACAAATTCAATTTTGTAAGTACGGAGGTCGATTTTAAAGTACTGTACTTTCAAATAAAGTACGAATGAGAGCCCTGGCTTAACTCATCTACACGGCCAAAAACGCTCAACTCATCCAATCCTTTGGAACGAGACTATTGAGTACCAGTCGTTTGAGTCCCTGGCCGTTTGAGTCCCTGGCCGTTTGAGTCTCTGGCCGTCTGAGTCCCTGGCCGTTTGAGTCTCTGGCCGTTTGAGTCTCCGGCCGTTTGAGTCTCCGGCCGTTTGAGTCTCCGGCCGTTTGAGTCTCTGGCCGTCTGAGTCCCTGGCCGTTTGAGTCTCTGGCCGTTTGAGTCTCCGGCCGTTTGAGTCTCTGGTAAGTAGGGTCCATGACCAGTTGAGTCCATGGCCAGTTGAGTCCATGGCTAGTTGAGTCCATGACCAGTTGAGTCCATGACCAGTTGAGTCCATGGCTAGTTGAGTCCATGACCAGTTGAGTCCATGACCAGTTGAGTCTCTAGCCGGTTAAGTCCCTGGTCAGTTGAGTCCCGGCCGTTTGAGTGGTTGATTACCGCCGGTTGAGTCTTGGGCCGGTTGAGACTCAACTGACCAGGGACTCAACCGGCTAGGGACTCAACCGGCCGATATTTCAAGGATTGGATGAGTTGAGCGTTTTTGGGCGTGTGGATGAGTTAAGCATTAGATGAGTTGAGGATTGGATGAGTTGAGCGTTTTTGGCCGTGTGGATGAGTTAAGTGTTAGATGAGTTAAGGATTGGATGAGATGTAGGGTAGCCAAGAGCGGAATTTGTCTTAAAGAATGTAGATTAATAAAAGAGAGAAGAGAAATTAAAAGAAGAGAGATTAATTTATAATACAAATTTTAATGGAGAGTATTGTCTCAAACCCTTCTCTCATTCATTGCATCGATAAAGCCAGCCGAGCGAAGAAAAATGTTGGAAGAGAGTCGAGTCTTTGCAAGCAAAGCACTACCAGCCGGTCTACTGCTGCGGTGAATTTGCGGATTAAGAAGAAATACCGCTCGATATCACGCTGTGATCTCTCTCCTCCCTTTGTCTCTGACCATCGTAGTCTGTGCTCCCTTTCCCATTTTCTCAGTAAAAGACCAGACAACGTCAGAGACAAATCCCTCAAGGCAATACAATATCCGACAGAATATGAAGGCTTAAATTTTGCGTAATAACATTTTTCGAATCATACATCAAGTAGGATTTGGGGTTTCAGTTTGTTATGTAGAGCTTCTTTGTCTGTTTTGAGTGAATGTGTAAAATAAAAGTTGGAAATTATCTTTTGAATTTTGGAAAAAAATAATTGACCTCGGCCAGACTCGAACTGGCGACCTTCAGTGTGTTAGACTGACGTGATAACCAACTACACCACGAGGCCATATGATGAGGAATATTTATTTTTTTAATTTCACTCTAAAAGAAGTGCAGGAAGTTAAGAGCACTGGAAGTTAAGAGCAACAAATGAAGTGTGGAATCCTTCACATTCATATCTTCTTTTAATTTAAAATAAAAAATCTTAAAAATTTGAATTATTAAAAATTTGAAAGATTAAAATTTGAAAATTATTATTTTACACACATAGAATAAATGAATTAATCTAGAATTACCATAATCAAATTTAAAATTGAATATCCTAAAATTTGAAAGCATTTACTGAAGTTAAGAGCAAAGAGGGTGAGTAAATGTCGGTCGAAGTATGAGATTAAATATTAACTTTCACCTCTAAAACTTATTCATTCAAAGAGGTAAATAAATAAGAAAACAAACAAGTGGCCTCGTGGTGTAGTTGGTTATCACGTCAGTCTAACACACTGAAGGTCGCAAGTTCGAGTCTGGCCGAGGTCAAATAATTTTTTCTTTTGGAATTGAATTAATTTTATTTTCTATTAACACCAGAATATTTTATTTCAATTTAAAATAGTAAAAAAAATAATTTTCAGTTCGAAATATAATTTTTTTCATGAATATATTCAAATGTTTTGTTTTCAACCTCGCTTTTCTTCTTCTTTAAATACTTTTAAATAAAAATTTTGTTAAAATTTTGCGATCTTACAGTATGATCATTTTTTTATTTATTGGCATTGTGTATATTTAACATTTTGTACATTGGATTATTTGTAAATTGGCATTTCATTGTTAGTCTTTGTGTAATTGCTTCGGATCGATATTTGAGACGCGAGAGTCTCGAGACTTTTTTTTCAAAATCCTTAAAATCCCTGTGAAATTTATCAGATTTTTAACTATCAATTTATTTTATCTTTTAGAAATCAAAATGACAACTGAAAGTGATCACTTTTTAATTGATGGTCGGCCTGTTCCGGAGCTTAAAGTAGTTGAATTGCGAAAGGAATTGGAAATTCGAAGTTTGCCAAAGTCTGGTAATAAAAAGGAGTTGGTTGATCGTTTACTTAATTTTCTGCGTGAAGAGCAAGAAGAATTAACTAAACAACAAGAAACACCCCAGGAAGAGGGTAATCAAGAAGAGAAACAATCACCAACGGTGGGTTAAATTTAAAATATTTTTGACAAAATTTTGACCTTTTTTAGGCTTCTCATTCTTTACCTGATATGGTTAGTCAATATTTAGTTCAACAACAAATTCAACTTGAAGCGGCGAGGCGTGATGCCGGTAAGAAATGAGAAAAATTGGAGATTATAATCGTTTATTTATACAAAAATGAGAAGGGAGAGGGGAGCAAACACGGCTTAAAATAATGCTACGTTTCCCACACTTTTTTAATCGATTGACTTGTTTTGTAAAATGACCAAAAAACAAAACGTATTTATGTTTTGACTCTTTTAAATTGTATGGCGAAATCTAAAAATATTGAAATATTTATAATTGATTTAAGTTTTGTCGTTGCTCTCTTTATAAGATTAGTCCAGGGCTCTCATTCGTGCTTTATTTGAAAGTATTATACTTTGAAACCGACCTCCATACTTAAGAAATTGAATTTATACTTTATTGAAAGTATATACTTTAAAATCAACATTTTGGATTGAAAATGAAATTGGGGAAGGGATTGGGCAAAAAAGTGAATTTTTTTAGCCTTGGGCCTTCGAAATTATCAAAATTTTCGCCTGCGGCGCTGAAAAAGAAAGAAATCTGGCTTCTTGGGCTCCAAATTTCAAAAAATTTTCGCCTGCGGCGCTGAAAATGGGAGAAATCTGACTACTTGGGCTCCAAATTTCAAAAAATTTTCGCCTGCGGCGCTGAAAATGGACGAAAGCTTGAGGTTAAGACTGTCAGGGCTTTATTTCTTGTATCAGCGAATTTTGACATGTCATGCGTTGAAATGCACAAAATGCCCAATGGAAGCAAGAAATTATTAGAAAAGATTCATTTAAGAGAGAAATATAAAAGATTTGAGCACGAACAAATATTTTCCAATTTAATTTTGAGTATACTTTAAATTTGGAAATTTTCTCCCTATATACTTTTTTATCAAGATTTTGATACTTTTGAGTGGCATTTTGTCGATGAGAGCCCTGGATTAGTCGGCGTCTCTTTTATTATCTACAAGACAAATCTTACTTTAAACTTTTAGATAAAATTCGTGCTTCTTCATCATATGATCCAACTTCTACTGATATTCAAACTCAAATGGTTCAACAATCAGAACATCAACTAATTGGCAATGAGATTAAAGAAACTTCCGAAAACTTTCCTCAAGACCACGAAGAAGATACTAACGAATATGTGCCTGAAGAGCCATCTGGTAGTCCTCAAGAACAGTTACAGCCAACTGAATCTTATTTACAACAGACCGAGAATGTTGAGGTTTTTATTTTAATTTTAAATTATTTTTGAATTTTTGAAGATTCTTCAAGAGGATTCGCAGCAAGAAGCTTCTGAAGAAGACGAGTCAGAATCTGACGGCAAGGCACGACCTTCTACAGAATCTTCAGTTACTGAAGAAGGTTATGCTGATATTGGGGGTGATGAGGACACAACTCCAGCGGCCGAGGAAAATGCAGCCCTCATGGGGGAAGAAAGAATTAGTGAGCCAAATGCAAAAGATGGACTTGTTGAACAACAAGGAGATGAAGAACAGAGTCAGTCTTTTACCGAGGAAAATGCTGAAGTTGAAGGAAGTACAGAATTTGTGCCTGATGAACCTGAACATAAAAAGGTAAATTTTTTAACGATTTTTAAGTAGTTTGTGTGGCAATTTGATCATTACTTTTTATTTCCATTATGTTATGTGCTTTTTGTGGGAGGAAATTTTCGATTTCACGGTTCTCCCTTCTCCTTAATTAAAACATTTTCAGAGAAGGTCAGAGACTGATTATGAGGAACCAAATAATGGCTCGACAAAATCTGCAGAAGAATCTACTGCTAAAGATGAGGAATCTGATATAGAGGTTTTAAAGTATATTTTAGTAAAATTTAGTTGTTTTTATTTAGGTTGGAAGTCAGAAAGATAATAGCGACGATGAATATGAACGTGATGATATTGTTGATGATGCTGGAAAGCGTAGACGACAGACATCTCCTTTTGGGAAAAAGAAAATGGATAAAGGAGGTCTGGATGAAACTAGAAGGATTGGAGAAAATGAAGATGAAGGTGCTGGAGATAAATTAAATGAAGGTGAATTTTTGTCTCAAACTGTCCCCATGGCCGTTGCTCAGCAAATCTCTTCTATCGCTGAATCAAACAGAATTGAACGTCGACGCTCGTCTACATTAACAGGTGTTGAAATGTTAGAATCCAGCAAACCACCTATTGAACAACAGAAGGAAGAAATCACTCCGGATGGATTTATTAGGAAAAGGGCGGCTTCTCCTGCGAGGTTTTCAATAATTTTGTCATATTAAACAAAAAACCTTTAGAAATCCGCCCTCACGTTGGGTACACATCCGTGGTCTTAAACGTCCATACACTCAACGAGCATTGCTGGAACTGCTTGGTAAGTTTGGTATAGTTGATGAAGGTGCATTTTGGATTGATTCTATTAAGAGCAACTGCATTGTGACGGTTAATTTTTTTCTTTTAATTTTTTATAATTTTTATAATTAAGTACGAAACAATTGAGCAAGCTGAACTTGCCCGGGAACGCCTTCACAATGTTATTTGGCCGGCTGCTAGTACAGATTCTCTTTGTGTTGAATTTTCTTCCGACGATAAAGTTTATCTTTTTTTCTTTTATCTCGGAATCTTATAAATTATTTAGCTGAGACGGCGACAGGCGGAGGAACAAAGCGAATCGAATTCAAAATTGCGTAGAGATGATATGCTCGGTTCGTTACCAGAGAATGGAGGAAGAAGTGGTGGGGGACTTGGTGGCCTTACTATTGTTGTTGACAACCGGGTATTTAAATTATTTAATAGCAAATTAACTTGGTTAAGCCAGAAATCCATTCCTTTTTGGGCCTTTATACTTAATTTTTAGATTGGGGTTTGAAGCTAACAAAGCCCAAGCTAACAATCCAGCTTGGGGTTGGATTGTTAGCTTGCTGTTGTTAGTTTAGAGTAACTTTTCTGAAAATTTATTTTAAGCATCCAATTTCATCTTCGGGAGCTCAAGTGCATATTCAACATGAGAAAGAACAACAACGTGAAGCAGAAATTAGAAAGCGCAAAGGTCTTGTTTTTAAGAGAATTTTATTTAATTCATTTTTTATTTCAGCGGAGGAACTGGAAAAATCACAGGACAAGCTTAATCAACTTTTTAAGAAGACAAAAGTTCAACCTTCACTTTATTTTTTGCCATTATCCGATGCTGAGGTTGTTTATCATTAATTTTTTTATACTTATTTGTATTTATTTTTGAGGGTCAAAATAAGTATTTTTGGTTATTTTTTTAAGTATTTGACCTTTTCTAACAATTTTTTGGATATTTTTGCCAATATTCCCAAATTTCTATTTTTAAATTTAATTCTTATAATTATTTTTCATTTCAGGCTGCTCAACATCAAGCAAATAAAATTAAAAAACAATCTTCATCAACAAATAAAAACAATTCTTCAACTCGTGATCGACCGCGAGAACATCGACGAGACAACGAAAATCATCATCAACGTTCTTCACATCATTCATCTCATCAAAAAAATGAAAATGATCGGCGAAGGATGGCAGGCAATAGGCGCTAAAAATATTTTTTTTGTTTAAAAATTTAAAAGGGAAAAGTAAAAATTATTATTATTTTATTTTTCATTTTCTCTTTCTCGCCCATTTTAAATCCCTTTCTCTCAGGTTTTGATTGAAAAAAATTTATTTTTTAGAGGTCCTCGGGAATTCCTACAATTTTCAAAAAAAAAAAAGATCAAAAGTCTTGTAAACAATAAATAAAAAAATATTTCCTCCCAATTTTTGAACAAAAAATGGTTATTTTTCTAATTTTAGAAAAATTTCCTTTAAGTAATTTCAATTTTTATATTTTTCTCGTTTTATATTTTAAATATTAAATCTCCCTTTCATCCAAATAATTTTATTTAAATATTTTTCATGATTCGCCCCTTTTTTCCAAATTTATCTTTTTGCATTTTTATGGTAGTTGAGATAATTTTGGAATAATACAAATTTTGTTTTTAAAATTTTTAAAATTTCTATTGAGAATTTTTAAAGGGAGTTTAAGCTTTTTTAGTCAACTTTTCTAAATTTCCTTTTAATTTTAGGCGATTTTTGGACATTTTTTTTGGGGATTTATTTATTTTAGGCTAATGTAATTAAGTAAGAATGCTTTTTGCTTTTATTATTTTACACATACAAATATTTCTTTTGTTTAAAAATTAAAATTATGTTTTATTGTAAAAGCAATGATTTTACATTTTTTTAAAAAGTTCGTCTAAAAATGTTTCGATTATTTACAATCATTGTTTTTATTATTTTAATTAGTCGGCAGACCTCACTATGGGATAGCCCCAGATACATCTCAATCCTAATTAAAGTTTGGTTGGTCACAAGTTGGTGAGCTTTTAAAAACTATTTAGAATAAACTTCCTTATAAAATACAAATATTCAACTCCGAGGGTATATCCTATGATGAGGCGCGACTTTATTATATTTACATATAATCTTCTTTTTTTTTCCACGACAAAATTAATTTTTCTATTCACCATTTATGTTTCTACATATTTCAACTGATTTAAATGTGGCCAATTGAAACAAGGATGAGACTGACAAAAACAAAAAATACAAAAAATGTTTTTCTTCAAAATGAAGTGAAGTGATTAGATGAATATTTATTGAGAGAACTTATGTATTTTGTGGAGAATTAAAAGAAAAATAAAAAAAATATTTTCTTTAAACTTTTCAAAAATATTCTCCCCTTTTTGCGTTTTATATATTTGTTAATTTTAATTAATATACAATATTTTCGTACGCAAAATAAATTTAAATTGTTTAATTTTTTGTTAATTGAAGGAAGGGGGTTGTGAGATTTTTTAGGAAATTGTCAAAAATTCAAGTATTTTTATGCTTTATACGATATTTCAAAATTACCAAACTTCTTTTAAAAATATGTTAAAAACTAACAGGTTTAAACAATTAAAAAGTTCTTCAAGAAACAAAACTATCACCCTAAATTTTACTTTTTCATCTGACTGCTCTTAATTTAAATTATTAACAATTTGAATATGTTTATTTAAAAATCGAATAAAAAATATAATGTAAGGTGAACTCAACACAAAATAATGAAGAAAAAAATATTTTTAATTAGATAAAAAATAAATTTACAAGCTTAGATTAATTTCGTCTTCATACTTTTCTGATATCAATGCAAGTCCAAAGGTCTTTTTCCATTTCGCTAACGGTAAATGAGAATCTCACTTTTGGATTATAAATATTGGTAATTTGATATTTTGTATATTTTGTATAAGTTCTTTGTTCAATTTCAACTTTTTCTGCTCTTTCATTTAATTGAAGATTTGTTGGTCTATAATAACGTAAAATAATAACAGGCACCATTTTTGAACAATCTCTAGATGTTGCTATATACTAAAATTTTGAATATACTTATTTTCAATTTTCCGTAAATAACTTACTTCAACAATATTTTGATAAAGCAATGTTATGTTTTTAAAAGGACTATTTGCTAAATCAGGCCCATATGAATGTCTCAAGTCTAACTGAATTTCTTCAAAATTGTCTCCTTTTGTTAAAATTTTAAATAAAATATTTTTATATTCTTCCATAATGTCTTTCTTTAGAAGAAAATAAATACGAAGAGTTTGACAAGCTAAATAATTCGAAGTAAATTGCAATAAATTTTCAATATTGTGCTCGGTACTTGACAGGAAACATTTGTAAATATATAATTGTTTAGCATTTCCAAATAATAATTGAATCAATTCTGGATTGAATATAAATGTACCAAAATTGCCATATTCAAAAGAACAATTAAAAAATTTATTTAAATAATAATAAACAATTTTGACGTCATTTTTGCTTTCAATAAATTTTGGTAATTGTAATGCAAGACATTTTACATTGCTATAAGCTGAAAAAAATTATTTTCATTTTATTTATGGCAACTACACTGTATTAACATAATAAACTATACTTACTCGTTATACTTTGAGCGGCTATAATTTCTTGATGCTCCATCCAATACAAATGAATTTTATATCATTCGAAGGCCCTAAATAAGCAGGTCTGATCACTCGTTAAAAGTTTATAACCAGGTAAATGTGAATGGATTATAACTTTTTAGTGAGTGATCAGGCATTCTATCCAATCAGAAAAAGGAAACGCCTATCGAGGGCCCTCAAATGATATAAGTTTCCTTTGAATTGGACTAAACTCAAAAAAGTCTGCTGTCATTCAATTTGTGGGTATAACGGATAAGTACCGAAAAAGGTCATGAAAAGTTAGAATATTAAATCAAAAATTTTCCTACTGCGGAATAATTCGGAATCGAAATTTTATCAAGGAAAATTATACCTAAGCAAATGACAACAGTTTCGTCCGAATTTTGTTGAGACAAATACAAAGGAATTTGGCTTTCTAGCCCATTTTTCCACTAAAAAGAGAAAGAAGTTTAGCTTTTACATTTTAAATTACTTTCTCTTCAAGTTGTTCATCGTTCAATGGAAAGTCAAAATCTTCGTCCAAAAGCTTAGATAATTCATATTTTTTGGCTTGATTGATATATCCCTTAAAAAGATTAAAAGTTAAGACAAATTAAAAATGCTACAAAATAAATGCAATGTAATTTCTCCCGAGCAAGTTCTCCATCAAAATTATTAATAAAATCACGAAAATATAAATTTGTTTGTTTGACTGAACATAATTGGTTGTAGTTGAGACATTTAAAAATATCAAGTTTTGTTTCTGCTGGTAAAGAATAAAACATTTTTTTGAAGAAATTTAATAAAGCACTAAAATTTAAATAAAAAATTATTTAAAAATTTATGCATTTTGTTAGGTAATAAAACCCTTATTGTCTTAGTAACTTGATAAAAAAATAAAAAAAACTAGATAGAAATAGTAACTAACAAAATGTGCTTAATACATGAGCGATGAGAATGTTAAAAATAAAATAAAATGAATAACGGTGCACTAACAGTGAGGTTTAGATAAACGAATGACTTTTATAGTGAAACAAATGCCCAACTCAAATCTTGATTTTAAAATATACTAGATGCAATTTTTTAAAAATTTTGTTAGCCAGTTGGTGAGAGAGGGACTGTCAAATAGATATCCCAATTCAAGACAACATTATACAATACGGCAAGGAAAAGAAAGATCCAACTCTAAGTAAGAGTGTATCAGATGGTGATTTACATATCTTCTTCTTTCCATCCATTGTTTTAGATAATTTCCACAACAAAATTAATTTTTCTATTCAACATGCTTCTATTTCACCTGATTTAAATGACCGATTGAAACAAACAGATAGGACTGGCAAAAACAAAAAATTGAATGTTTTTATTCAAAATGGCCCGGTCCGAAAGTCGGGTATTGAATTTTGTCCCAAAAATTCAATTTGGAATAAAAACATTTTTCTTTTAATTTTCCTCAAAATAAATTCTCTCAATATTCATAAAGAAATTTTTAAAATTTAATTGTATAGGGGATGGCATAGATTTACTAGCTCGCTTTTTTCAGTTGATATGGATTAAAACATAAAGCTAAAATTATTTTTTTATTGAAAGGGAATGTACTTTTGCTTTTTATTTAGTAGAATATTTTTTGAATCGGTCCATTTCATATGTTAATTGTTGATGCGCATTCAGTAATTCACTTTTATATTTTTAAAAGTATTTTTTTTGAGATTTTTTTGAATAATGATTTTTGAAAATATACCTAATAATTATTAATTTATTTTAAATTTGTCCTAAATGTTTTTTAATTAATTAAAATCTGTTTAACGGTTTGATGTTGTTTTTAACTACTATCAGAAATGTCCAATAGCTTTGTGTTATTTAAAATTCTGATTACCGTAAAATCTACCCTGGGTGACAATGACAATGATGAATGATTACTCCCCGCTGGGGGGGGGGGGGGGGGGGGGGTAATTATACGATGTTAAAAATTTGAACGTGTTTTAGGCCATCGGATAGGGGGGAGTTGTTTCAATTTATCGCTGATGGGATAATTAATAGGGGTAATTATTTGAAGGAGGCCAATTAATAAAAGTTTTACGGTAGATTAGATTAAAATAAAAAATTTCTTTGTAGAAAATGTTCAATAATTTAATAATTTTTTATTTAATTTTTTGTTTTCAAATTAATTTTATATTTAATTCTTCAATAAATTGTACATTTGAAAAGATTAAAGAAGAAAAAGACGAGAATTTTTGTGGTTGGAAACCAGAAAATAATATTTGGAAAACTGGAAATGAAGTATTAGTAGATTCTGTTAATTATGTTATTCATCCTTCTAGTGGAGGTAAATAAAGAGAAAATACAAAATAAATCAGAATTATTTTAAATCAGAAGAAACGGGAAAAATACAAAAATAAAAAAATCAGAACAATTAAGGAAAATACAAATAAAATACAAATAAAATACAAATCAGAATTTTGTCTTTTAAAAATAGAGAAATTAAAATACATAAATCAGAATTATTTAAAATCAGAAAAACTAAGCACAAAAATACAAATATCAGAACAATCAAAGAAATACAAATAAAACACCAATCAGAATATTCAATTTCAGAATTAAATAACAAATAAAAATTATTTGTTTTAAACATTTATAAAAAAATTTTTCTAGGAGATCGTTTTGCCTATGTTCAAGGTCATTATGGATCACCTTTAGAAGGAAAACTTTCTAGTCCCTTAATTTCATCAGACAAAAAACTTTTACGTTTTAACTATTGGAAATTATCAAATACCCCTTCAATGGATATTTGTATTGAAAAAGAAGAAAATAAAAATAAAATAGAGAAATGTATAGATTCAATACAAGGATTGGGAGAAAATCAGTGGATTTTAAGAATGATTGAATTACCTAGAGAAGAAAAAAATTTTAAAATTATTTTTAAAGCAAGGAATCTACTTTCTGGTAAATATTAAAAAATAAAAATTAAAATTCTGATTTTTTAGCAGAAGATATTATTGGAATAGATGATATACAAATATTACCTTCAGAAATAACAGAAGAAACAAATAATAAAAATCAGAATAAAAATAAAATAAAAAAGCAAAGAAAATCAGAAAAAGAAAACACAGAAAATACAAATCAGAATTATTTAAATCAGAATAAAGAAAAAGAAAACACAAATGAAAACACAAATAAAAATCAGAATATTAAAATAAAACACAAACAAAGAAAATCGTCAAATATTAAAAATTCTGAAGAAGAAAATACAAATCAGAATAATAATAATATAACCAGAATAATTCCTTATTCTGAAATAATTAAAAATAAAAAAGAAGAAAAATTGAATAAAAATAATAATACAATTCTAAAACACGTTCGATTATCACCATTAACTGGAAGAAATAATAAAATATTTTTTAGAGAAGAAAATAAAAATATTGACAGGTTAAGTATTTTTTTAATATTTTTTTGGAAAAATTAAAAAATTATTAAAAATAAATTTTTTTTCTTAGACCCAAAACAAACTTATTTATTGAAAGACCTTCAGCAACAACAATCGGTAAATAATTATTAGAATTATTAAATTTTTGTTAGAAAAAGTAAAATGTTGATAGACAAAGTTGTATTAAACATCTATTAAAGGGGTTATTTGTTGCCTCTATCTATATAAATTCTATGAGTTCAGTAAATTCATCCTACACAAAACGAACTAGTAATGTTCCCTACAGCCTACTTTATAGGGCGAAAGGAACAATTTATTTAAACAAATTTTAAATATTCCAGAAAGAATTGCAAGGAATGAACAATGTACTGCAGTTAGTTGTTCTTTTATGGATGGAACATGCCTTTGGTTTTGAAATTTTTTGAAATATTTGAAAAAAATTATTTAAAGGGATTTAGGCCCTGGATGGAAAAGTGATTCCCATGGAAGTGTTTCGATTGAGTTAAAATCATTTTCGACTTTATCAGTTTCTTCCCCTTTGCCCTTATCTGTTATAGACCATTCTCAAATGGCTAGTGTTTTGTTTAGACCTCCAGTTGCTTCTTATGTTGATTTTGATCTTTGGCTGAGGTAACTTGGATAAGAGGAAATTTTAAGATTTTTTAAAAGTAATAACGTTAAATTTGCTGTTGTTGAACGAATAAATCCTTCTACACATTCTTCTAGTTATTTAAATGAAGATTTGGGAGAAGAAAAAGAAATTTTAAAATTATTTGAAAGGGAAGGAGCAACAGAAGGAGGATGGCATAGAGTAATTAATTTAAATTTATATTTTTTAAATAATAAATTGAAAAAATATTTTGAGAAGGAAATAGGTGCAGATTATTTATAGTTAAATTATTTAGCCAAAATTTACAGTACATTAGATATATTCTTGTTGTAATCATTCTTGGATACCAAAGTTAGATAATAAGTAACAGATATGGGTCGGGTTGAGGAAAAGCCGGATCAGCTATTCGAAAATCTCTCGGGTCGGATTTGGGGTTGAAAAAGTCCGGTCATTGGATTTTATTTAAAAATGTATTAAAATAAAATAATCCATGAATATTTCCTCAGATGATATTATTAGTGATCGGACTAGAAGGTCGTACGAGAATCGAGATCTCGATAACCGAGATTTTCGATCGAGATCTGTCTTGGTCCGATCTCTAATATTTATTATTTATCGGCTTTATCTAAAAATAAAAACATATTTTAAGTTTCGTGTCCCCTTACGGCCATCATATCTTCCTGTTCGTTTATTATTTATTGTTGAATTAATTTTACTTTCAAAAGAAGGGGAAGAGGAAGGATTTGTTTCTTTATCAAATATTAAATTAGTTAATAATGAAGGGATTGAAATTGGCTGTCAAACTTTGGAAGATAATAATTATTTGAAAACAACAACAATTTCTTTTATTAAAGAAGAGGGAGAAGAAGGAGAAGAGGATAATATTAAAGAGTATGGTAAGAATAAATATTTTTAAAAATTAAATTTGAAAATTAAGGGAATAATATTTGATAATTTATTAAGAAAGATTTTTCTGAGTGTCCTCTCTTAGGTCTAATAATCGCCTAGATTAAGATTTTTGTGAAGCGTATAGCTATTTATTCCCTAAGGCTGCAATAGGCGGCGTGGTGTAATGGATAACACATCAGTCTAGTCTACTGAAGATGCTGGTTACACTAGCTGAAGGAGAGAAATAGCCCAGCTGCTTTACTTTTTGAAAATCCTTAAAAACCCAGTCCTAGTTTTTATTTCTATAATTCAAGTCCCTAACGGCATAACTTATTAAAAAAAGTTTATAATTTATGAAACCTCTATTTTTGGATTAATTAATTAAAAGATTATTTTCAAAAACTTTAAAAACAATTTTAAAACTTTAAAAATAAATTTTAATTTATTCAAAAAAGAACGTAAATTATTATCGGATGCCGGTATAGAATGGCTAGCTAAACAACCAACACCCCTTCGATTACCTTTATTAACATTAAATGACATTTATCCCCAAACAACACCACCAACACCTTTACCAACACAATTTATTAACACAATTCCATCACCTAAACAAACAATTTTTAAAAATTCTATTTTACAAAAAGGAGCTTTAATAACGACAAAAACATTTAATCCTTTCCAGGTTATTTTAATTTTTAAATTTTTGTCAGAAATTTTTGAATAATCTTTTTCAAGACTGCGGGGGCGGAAAATATTAAATGAGAAATTTCAGAAATTCTGATTATAAATTTCAATTCCGAGTATATATACGAAACTGTAAAAGGGGTTTTTGTGAAGGCTTTATGGGGGATAGAGATCAGCCTGAGTCGTACAAAGTCCTGGGGTTTTCCTGTACCCAGAGTTCAGGCCCAGACATTTTCGGACCTCCTGGATTTTTCCTGGACTACATGCCAAGGATCCGGCCCAGATCAATAAATCAAACCCGGAACCCAGGAACAGGCCCAGGCTTTTCAAAAATTCTGATCTCTAATGGGGGATAAACATTCAACTAAAAACATATGTTGGTCAATAATTTATTTTCTTTAAATTTCAGCCATTGTTTGAAGGGATTGCACCAATAATTCCTCTACAAGGCAATCCACAAAGATTAACAGCATTAATGGATAAACAAAATATTTATGTAACAAAAACAAATAATAATCATTTATTAAAACCAAAAAATGTTTGGAATTTTTTTTTAAATTGGAAATTAAATATAATTATTTTTTAAAGATTTTTCCACAATTAATTTCGCCTTTTACAATTTTGAAGCCAAATATAAAGGAAGAAAAAAATGTAAGAAAACTCAATTAAAAATTAAATTAAATTCGATTAGAACCGGGGCTGGATGCAAATCAAAAAACCACGCAATTTACGCGTCGCAATCCACAATTGCGTCCAGCGGGTACACTCCAACGTAACGCGAGGCCAACGTACCGCAGAGCTATAACTTCGTTCAGAATTGTCGAATCCGAAACGCCCTGATACGGTTCGATTCAGCTCGTCGAGATGCATTGAACCATACCAAGGCGTCCCGGATTAGACTATATATATGTCACCAGAAAGGGACTGGAAAATTATAATATAATGATTGGTTTTATAGAGATTTTTCACTCTTTTTCAGTCAATCGAAGAACCTCTTAAAAATCAACAAATGTTGTATGGTGCAACACCAATAGGAGGAACTTATTCAGAAATTGAACACGAAGAGGAGGATGAAGAAGATGAAAAAGAGGATGTTGAAGTAAAAGAAGGAAGTCTTCTTCCATTTGGTATGAAAGAAAAAATGGAGGGAAATGAGGAAAATAAACGACGAAAGGTAAAAGAATAAATTTTTAAAAAAATTTGAATAAAATTAAGGAAAATAATGAATTAACTTTAACACCAAATGAACAGAAAAATGTTATAGAAGATTTAGATGAAGATACTAATAGCAGAATGTCTTCATTAACCTCTTCACATCACAGAGGGTGGAGTGAACGATTGGAAAAGTCTTTAGAGAAACGAACGTAAAAAGGATATGATTTTAAATATTTTAATGTTATAGTATTGTTAAAATATTATTTTATTGAAGAAAATAAAAATGAATAATTGGCTCCGGTACAAAATATGGAATCGTTAAAATATGGAATGGTTAAAATCGCGAATAGGCTAAAAAGGGGTTAAAATACCGAATCGTTAAAATATGGAATGGTTAAAATATCGAATCGGGTAAAAAAGGGTTAAAATATGGAATCGTTAAAATATGGAATGGTAAAAATGTCGACACGGCCAAAATCGGTCAAAATGTCGAATTCTTTTAAAAAAGGGTCAGATGAGTGCCGTACGTTGATTATTGACAATTTTATCAGCTTATCAACTTATTGATGATAAGTTGATTGATAAGTTTCGTATGTCGTAGTCAGTCGCAATAATTTCTGCCTGAGTTCATTGTATTTTACCGAGTAAAACCGGACCGGATAAATCAAGCATAATCGACCGGATCCGGTCCTGCATGATCGTACGGATCCGGAAAACATAACGCGATCCTTATATGGAAAAATTAGAGTGGTGTGCATTAGTTTTTAGTTAAGACCTAAAGTTTGACCTTACCGTATACGGTACGAAATACCGAAAAATACCGATCAGCTTTTAAATTTTATCGGTCGGATACCGTACCGTACAACCGACACGGAATATCGAAAAATACCGTCGGTATTACGGTAACGCCCGGATTCTAGTTTTGGCGCCATTTTTAAAAAATTCGACATTTTGATCGATTTTGGCCGTGTCGACATTTTTACCATTCCATATTTTAACGATTCCATATTTTAACCCTTTTTTAGCCTATTCGATATTTTAACCATTCCATATTTTAACGATTCCACATTTTAACCCCTTTTTAGCCTATTCGCGATTTTAACCCCTTTTTACCCGATTCGAGATTTTAACCCTTTTTTAGCCTATTCCATATTTTAACGATTCGATATTTTGTCCGGACACGGAATAATTTAACGATAGTACAATTAGACCTCATCTGTATATTATGTTGAAAACTAGCTTTGAAAACTCCACACAGTACCTAATCCGATTTTAGAATAACTAGGCCTGATTTGATTGAAAGAGCTCAGGAATGTGACTATCGGAAGAAGTAGAAAAGATTCTAGTTGCTGTAAAGGATTAAACTTATCAAAAGTTTTCGAATTATGTAAATCCGATAAATCTCTTCGAATTTACTATAAAAGCAAAGAATCCTTTAAATTCAAAAATCACCAATCGTTTCCATAACAAACAGTCTTCAACAACGGTTCACTCTTTTTCAACGACAGTTTCTCCATTTGCGTTCCACAAAGATGTCTAGGAGCAGAATCTCTTTCTGTCTGGTGTGTATGCTGCTACTCCTCTCCACGTTTTGCGATGCAAAGTAAGTTTCTCAAAACAATTTTTTGTTGTAAAAGTTTAAATCGTACGCAATCAAAGCCAAGCCAATATGTCACCACTTTCTAATTCTTATTCTATTAACGACAAACGTCAAAAATTAATCGATCAAATAACTGCTTGTGATTTTAACAACACAGCAGCAATCGATTCCGACTCTTCTATTCCTGACTACGCAAAAATTTTAATTAAACAACTCGGTGGTCTTCTTCAGACAGCAGTGCAACTACTCAATGAACAACCATCAGCAAAAGACTACTACGAAGAAGAACGTCGACAACACACTATAGTCATCACAGGTCTTCCAGAATCTATTGACAACACTCCAACAAAACGTGCAGAAAATGACATCAAAACAGTTCATTCAATGCTCGATACAATTGGACTGGATAGTGAATTGCCGACCAATGTTTTCAGAATGGGAAAGAAGAAGGACGATGGGAGCAGGTTATTAAAAGTTGAATTTCCGACGAAGTATGCCACTAGATTTTTTTTGAAAAATAAACATAAGATTAAATCGATCCCAAGTTTTAAAAATGTTAATATACGTGAGTCTTTATCACGATCCCAACTTGACGCGCGCCATAAGCTCATTGCGTCATGCAATGAGCAGCGCAAGGCAACAGGCAAGGATTTTGTTGTCTATGCGGGGATGGTTGTCCTTCGGGACACCATTCCTGCAATTAGACAACAAAATCCTTAGCCTGTTGCCGGGGTAGCCACACCGTATTTAATTGACAAAAGCTATAGGTTGTTATTAGATTTTTATAAGAATGTTTCTAGTCTTTTTAAAAATATCTTTTCCCACCCTCCTGGTAATAAAAACTTAAATAAACAGAAATTTTTAGATTCTAATAAAACTGTTAATGTTTATTTTATTAACGCTCGTTCCATCTGTAATAAACGTGATGAGCTATCTACTCTACTTTTGAACTCTTCTCTTGATATTTTACTAATAGCCGAAACCTGGCTTCGAGACGATGAACAAATTTCTTTTGACCCAGTAATCAATTCCAGGTTTACTTCCTTTACTTGTAATAGAAAAAATAGAATAGGTGGGGGCACTGCTATGTTAATCTGTAATGAGCTTAAACCTACGCTTGTTTTTTCGGATTCTATTAGTGGTTGTGAAATATTAATAGTTAAAATCTCCTCCTTTAATATCTTCTGTATCTATCGCCCACCTAATATTGGGATATCTCATACTAAGCTGCTCTTCAAAACTCTGACTAGTAAAACAGATAAAAATTCCATTATTTGTGGTGATTTTAATTTTTCCAATAAGGACGTTCTATGGACAAATTCTATCCCTTTACCTAAATCCGCAACTGGGGAACTTTTTGTCTCATTTTTCAATAAAAACTGTCTTAAATTACACACTACTTCACCCACTCGCGGTCATTCATGGCTTGATCTCGTAATGTCTAATTGTAAAGACAGTATTACTAATTGCCAAACTTCTGATTCCATTCTCTCGTCTGACCATGCTGCTATTTGCTTCGATCTATGTATTAATAAACCTAAGACTAAACAACCTATGATCTTTTGTAGAACATATGACAAACCAAATACAAAGCTATTAAATATCTATTTGTCCTCTATATTACCTTCTACTTCTATTAGCAATTATACTATAGAGGACAAATATAATTCTTTTATTTCCAACATTCTAACTGCTAGAGATCAATTTTTACCTGGCACCTATATTTCTAAATTCACTCCTAGATATCCAGCCTCGCTTAAAGCTTCTATAAAAGAAAAAGCACGTCTCTGGAAAATTATCTCTAAAGGTAAATCTGATTTAATACCACGTTACAATAGTCTAAATCTCCATGTTAAAATCCAAATAAGAAAATTTTATGCAAAACTTGAAAAAAATTATATCGAAAAAGATCCACTCAATATCTTTAAATATATTAATAGACATTCTAAAAACAACAATACCATTCCATCCTTATTGGTAGATGGTAATTATGTTTATGATGACAAACACAAATGTGAAATATTTGCTGGATCGTTTTTTCTAGATTCTGATACTAACTTTATTATTCCTGAACTCATTAATATTAATCCTAAATTTATCGATGATATTGAAATTGATTCTAGTAAATTATTAAAAATGTTAAATTCCCTCCCTAACAAGGAAGGTCTATCACCTGATTTTATATCCTATAGATTTTTAAAGAATTGTTCTGTTTCTTTAGTTTCTTATATATCTGAGCTTTTCAGAATTTCCCTTGACTCTGCTATACTTCCAAATATCTGGAAGGAATCTATAATAATTCCACTTTTTAAAAAAGGAAATAAGGAACTAGTTTCTAACTATCGTCCAATTTCTATTACTTGCTCATTATGCAGAGTAATGGAAAGATTTATCTTTAATGGAATCCTAGAATTTCTTTTAGAAAATAATATTATATCTCCTCATCAATTTGGATTTCTCCCAAGGAGATCCACTACTACACAACTGATCACCACCTTAGAAGATTGGTTTGATGGAATATTTTCTAATAAAAACATAGATTGCATTTATTTAGACCTTAGAAAAGCTTTTGATTCTATCCCACATGACTTACTTTTATATAAACTCTATAAAATTGGTGTTAGGGGTAAAATATACAATTGGATTAAAGAATTTTTAACAAATAGAAAATACCGTGTAAAAATTAATGATAGTTTTTCATGTTATTACAGTGCACCTTTGGGTGTACCACAAGGCTCTGTCCTTGGACCATTATTATTTATTATTTATATAAACGATCTTCCAGATATTATTCCAAAAGGCATATCTGTCAAATTATTTGCTGATGATATTAAGATATATTTAATTCATGATTCATTAAACCAATGTAATATACTAACTGAAACAATCACTAATATTGAACTTTGGTGCGATCAATGGGGTATTAATATTTCCTCAGATAAATCTTATGTTCTCTATCTTGGTAAAAATAACCAAATGCACAAATATAAAATTGGAGATAATATTATTATGGGTTTAGATTCTATAAGAGATTTAGGAATTATAATTGATAATAAATTATCCTTTCAAAAACATTTTGACACAATTGTTCGAAATGCTTATTATCGTATGAAAATTCTATTTAAAACTATTAGATCTAGGAGCATTAGAACTTGGACATTAGTCTATAAATCTTATATCAGACCCATACTTGAATATGCACCCGAAATCTGGAACCCTCATTTCAAAAAAGATATAATACAAATTGAAAAATGCCAAAAATTCTTTACATCTATTGCTCTCAAAAAATGCATGTTACCTAAAATTCCTTATCCTGAAAGACTTCAACTTTTTGGATTACAATCTCTTAATACCCGCAGAAAAATTTATGACCTCGTAACTGCATTTAAAATTATTAAAGGGTTTACCCATTTAGATCCTACTCACCTATACCGATTTTCTACTCATCCATCTCATAAACAATTTAATAGACTTATGTTTAAATGCAGATCCTCAAAAAACGCTCATTCCTTTGTTAATAGAAGCTCTTCACTATGGAATACCCTTGATAAAGTTACATTAAACTCCCACTCAATATTGTCCTTTAAACACAGAATTACTCAACTATTTATAA